GGCTTCCTGGGACATTCCGGGGCATTCCTGAGCATCCCAGAGCATCCCTGGGATATGCTGGGGCATCCCAGGGCATTCCTGGGTATCCCAGAGCATCCTGGAGCATCCTGGGGCATCCCAAAGCATCCCAGAGCATCCCTGGGATATCCTGGGGCATCCCAAAGCATCCCAGAGCATCCCTGGGATATCCTGGGGCATCCCAAGGCATTCCTGGGTATCCCAGAGCATCCCTGGGATATCCTGGGGCATCCCAAAGCATCCCAGAGCATCCCTGGGATATCCTGGAGCATTCCAGAGCATCCCAGAGCATCCCTGGGATATCCTGGGGCATCCCAAGGCATTCCTGGGTATCCCAGAGCATCCCTGGGATATCCTGGGGCATCCCAAGGCATCCCTGGGTATCCCAGAGCATCCCTGGGATATCCTGGAGCATTCCAGAGCATCCCAGAGCATCCCTGGGATATCCTGGGGCATCCCAAGGCATTCCTGGGACATCCTGGAGCATCCCAAGGCATCCCAAAGCATCCCTGGGATATTCTGGAGCATTCCAGAGCATCCCAGAGTGTCCCTGGGATATCCTGGAGCATCCCAAAGCATTCCTGGGTATCCCAGAGCATTCCTGGGATATCCTGGAGCATCCCAAGGCATCCCTGGGATATTCTGGAGCATTCCAGAGCATCCCAGAGTGTCCCTGGGATATCCTGGAGCATCCCAAAGCATTCCTGGGTATCCCAGAGCATTCCTGGGATATCCTGGGGCATCCCAAGGCTTTCCTGGGTATCCCAGAGCATCCCTGGGACATCCTGGAGCATCCCAAGGCACGCTGGGGCATCCCAGAGGATTCCTGGAGGATCCTGCACCAGGATTCCAGGAGGAATTCCTCCCGGGCCCTCGGTGGGGACAGATGGATCGGGACCATTCCAGCCTCGATTCCAGGGGTTTGGGCGGCTTTGTCCCCCCGGCCGTGCCAGAGCCGGCACCGGGATCCGTCTCCCGCGGGATTGATGGATTCTGGGAGCCGGGAACTGCGGGAATGGGGCCGGAATGCCGAGGATCCGCTCCGGGACAGCCCCACGTTGGGAACGCCGACACGGAAAAACTCCGGATTCCCATCCCGATTCCGGGAAGGTTTCGGGCCCCTCGGAGCCGCTCGGCCGCTCCAGCAGCCCCGGAGGTGCCCCCTCATCCCCCGGGAATTCTCCCGCTCCCAGCCCCCGGCCCGGGAAGGCGCCAGGCTCCCGAGTTTTGCCGGGAGAGGAGTCGGGATTAGAGCGGCGCCGGTATCTGCACATATTTATAGTGCGCTGACGGATCTATTTTAGCTGGAAAGCCGGGATGAGCTCCCGCGGGAGCATCCCTGGAGTCACATTTTAAGGGACTTGGCATCTCTTTCTGCCGCTCATTTGCATTTGATATCCATAAAAAAGGCAGGCGTTGATAAAAGGCGGATATTTATCCTATTCCTGGCTTGGCAGAGGAGGGTTGGGAATGGCACCGGGGAGAAATCCAACAAAAAAACGGGAAAATAAAAGCCAGAAGGTCCCGCCGGGATCGCGGGATTCGATGGGATGGGATGGGATGGGATCCATGGGATGGGATGGGATGGGATGGGATGGGATGGGATTGATGGGATGGGATGGAGCTGCCCCAATCTCTGACATCTCCAGGACAAATGCATTTTCCTTGTGCCAGGATTTCCCTG